GTAAGCGTCCGAAAAGATACAATACATTGTCGTGCGTTCAGCACAAAATTTCAAGAATAAACCAATGCCTCATGCCAAAGCCCAATTCTTGTGCTAACATTCGGGCCATGTTGAAGGTAAAGTTTGGCTAATCACCAAACTTGTGGATTTGACCTGAATCGGTTCGACTCTTCGAATATTGGTATCCTGATAGGAACTCGCTTTGCTCTTGGTCAGGGGCTTTTTTATACGCGATGCTTGGACCAATAGTGTTTCCTTCAAGTCACCTACTTTCCTTTTCGCTGGTGAAGTAGTCAGATGAATAATCGAAGAATTTTCAGGCGCTTCTTCGTTACTTCCATCGTCGTCACTCGGTGAACAGTTCGCACATGATTTTCTTCAGCAAAAAGCCTCGGAGGCGAAAGCCCCATCGACCTTCAGCATGAAGGTAACATACCCATACGTTTCCGTTTTTGATTGTTAACTGCTGTTTTTGGTCGCAGTTCGGCAAGCTATGGTAAGTATACCATGAAAAGCTGAGTTGGAATGAAATGGTGCCCCGGTAGCGTAACTGGTAGCGCACTTGCCCGGAAAGCGAGAGGTGCGGGTTCTAGTCCCGCCTGGGGCGAAAGTTTTGTTCACAACCCAGCATTCTTGTCAACATTTCTGTTTTTCCATCATTTCCATTCTTCGGAGCACTTGTTTCGCTGTGAGCGTCAACTTTTGATCCTGGCGTTCGTTTAAGGCCAAGATTTCGAAAAAGTCCCTTAGAAAGCTCACGAATTTTAGTATAAAAGCACGGAATATTTAAGTATCTACAAGCTACATTTTCAAGTAAATAAGGCTCGTTTTGTTCAAGTGATTAGGCATTTTTTCATATTCTAGAACTATTTGTTTACACGACCTATCCGGGGGTCAGTGCACCAATTGCCGGTAGTGTAATCATTGGGCGAGTTATGGAGATTCTGAAAAAAAAAACAAATAATGCCAATTTCACGCACAAGGGCTACCGTCAGTGTTAGAATACTGTTTAAACAAGAATGGCCTACCTATATGAATACATTCCACATTCAGTCCATAACCCACATCGCACTCCATCCCACCAAAATTGCAAACAGGGTAAATCAATGCGTATCGCATCTTCCGCGACCAAGGTTCCTAGGAACTGCAGCAAAAGTAGCTGTGTTATCTTCTTTGGTGTGGTTCGTTGATATGACAAAGACGGTGCAGGAGTGTACGGCTGTCCTGCATAGAAGGCCCGAGCACTGTCGCAAAAAAATTCTAAAACTCCTCCTCTATTTCGAAGTCGCCGTTCCTGTTCTCGAAAATTAGCGTCGAGCGAGAGAGGAGGTTACAAGTGTATCACAGACGACAGTGAAATAATGAAGTCGTAGAAACTTCTCTATAATTACCAGATTGGATGAACTTTCGAAAAATAATCTAAAAAAGGTTAACACACCTTACGTAGCTCGAAGCCCAATACGATGCCCCTCTAAAACACGTCAAATGCCACCCTCTCTAATGCGGGTTCCGTGAACATGTGTGGCCTGGTTCCGAGACAATCTTTATTATGAAATGAGCTGCATGTTGAGCTGTAGCAGAAGAAACGATTCATTCACGAATTGAGGTAATAGTGTTGAGAGGGTCGGAAATTCCAGTCTATTGGTATATTGCTAGGGGAGGCTTACCACAAAATCGCCTCGCCTTCTCACTTGCAGTCCACCTCCCATCTCTACTTCCATATTTTAGCGGAATTACCCCCATCAATTCAATCCCGATCCTTGCCTTTAACATGGTAACAAAGTATAAATGTGACAGAAACCACAGTTGGAATTGAAGAACGATTGAATTCTTCACTCTTGAATTTTGTACCGTAACATCGAATATACTGCAAAATTGTTAGGTATAGTTGTTTATAGGATGAATACAAACGCGCTGAAGTTTGGGAGAGGAGGGTTTGAACACGAGCGACGGCACATTTCTAGACAAGAGAAAGGTTAAGAATTAATATGAAAAACGCCATACTGGCCAGACACCCAGCCTTTGCTGTCCAACGACCTCCAAACATTATGAGAGTCACAGCTCGTTTCTTGCGTGACTTGCCGTTGTTAGGTGGGGTGTCAAAATCCTTGCTACCGTTATCAACAGCTTTATTTTGGCAGAGACGTCATCGTCCACTCATATAGTAGTTTATATCGAGTACATTCGTATGAGCTGTAAAAGCTGTGGCAAAGGTTAAAGAGCTAGCCGTCACGAAAATCCAAGGTGATGGAGGCTACAACTCAGAATATTAGAAAAGAAGCTTTTGAAACTGACGTATGTTGGCCTGAAATGGCGTTAAAGCGGGTTCTTGAGAACATGTTCGGCGTACGCAACCCAATTAGTGCATTCCGAAGAACGAGCTCGCTCTTTGAAATGCATCAAAACGTCAACTCCGAGGAAGGCCATGAACAAAGTCTTGGCCAATTTCTTAAGAAGCCTTGCGTGTCGTCGTCGATGAGCGCTCGATACTACGAGCCATAAATCCTTACTATATACATATGTATAAAACGTACGTATATATAAAACGCTATGTCTGTCCTGTATGTGTGTATGTGTGTCACGAATTCATAGCACGCGTCGCGCAGTTTTCATGAGCTGATTTTGGGATATGAAGTAGGGGGTTGGGACTGGGAACATATTTGGTGGGGGTCACAAAGATGACAAAACTGGTAAATGAGTTAGTACCGGAGGCAAACATGGTCGTTATGGTTTAGCTTATAGTCCTCTGGTCAACGTAATGGTCCAACTACCTGTTAGAATAATCGATTCACAGTTGAGAAGCGTGCCGACTTATCGCACTTGCTGTTGGTCATTTAATATATAGGTTGTAGGAAAGTTCTTGCCGCAGTGGTTTGAAAGTCATCGATTCAGCGCGTTCTTTGTTGATCAAGGTTTTTGAACAGGTGCTAATGATTAGTAGAAGCGGTCTTTCTTGCATGTAGTAACGGCAGGGGTTGGGCAGTTTGCTCTGGGAACGATTGCTCTCATTTTTCAGCATGCTTGATAGAACACGCTCAAGTGCCGAATCGCACGATTTTTTCTTGCGACTCGATGTAGGATATAAAATGAGCGTTTATGTAGCCCGCTATTAAAAGATATGTGATAGTGAGTTGATAGTTTGCGGAGTTTTTTGTTAAGGATGGCGTGGACTCGAATGTTACGGTGAGCGGTGGGTTATTGGATATAGATACGTTGGGGTTTAAAATTATCTGCTTGAGCAAGCTTTGATAGAACAAATGGGCAATAGGCAAGTGTTGACAAAGGCCGTCACTGATTGGGCGATTAACTGACCGCGGTTTTCAAGCTCGCAAGAAAAAGCATAGCGAAAATTCTGGAAAAGGTTGGTAAACGAGTACCGCGAGCACCAAGAAGCGCAGTTCGAATGTTGCGCCTATGTACATTACATTCCTTGCGTCTAATGAAGCGAAGCGTAATTCTGTTCACGATTGCGACGTTCAGGACGAGCTTTTCGAGCAGAACCGGCGCGAAGCCGCATTGATGTTATAGCTGTGGTAAGCTATTCTTAAATAACGATTCAAATACCGCGTAAAACTAACACATGCGCTACGGAGGAATCGTCAGATAGGCTACTCTTCTACACGGGTTTACCTTACGTCGAACGCAATATCCGTCCTGCAAACAGAGCAGAAACTAGCCGTGGTGCCAAACTATTCCTCTGTCTTGCTCATTAGATCTCTTACCTATTTATTGCTTCTTTTCAACCATCTGGATGGATTGCCCCTTTGGGAAGAAATTCTACACAACTAACAAATCGTGGAACGATCTTCGTGAATTTTATCCCTATAAAATTGAATTTTCAAAGAACGGGTTAGGTCAAAGCTTCCTGGTAATCAATTCCGTGTTCGTACGAGGATTTTATTGAAGTTCATTGAAAAGGTTTATATACTGAGCGAAGGACACGTGGTGTTCAACGTCTAGATTTGCACTGACGAATCATGTGTCAGAATGGGCACTTATCCTCAACAATTAATTGGTGCCATTATTTCTGCTCGATCCACATGTGGTCTTGGCTAACAACATACAAATCACCAACGCCACAGAATTTTACAACAAGTTCCTACAAAACAAATAGAGTGCTATTTTGCTCAGGTTGGGGTCATTTTGTGTGTATTCACGAAAAAACAATTATATTTTGTATGCCACCCTTACTCTCTACGCCACAACGCGGATGAAACATCTAAGGACATGAGGCCACAGTAGCCCCCCGTTGACTATGGGACGCGCTTTGTCTTACGCAGCACCATAACGCATCCCCAACTTAGCAGTTGAAATTGTTCATTACCCTCCAGGAAGACGGAAAGCACAGCGAAGGGGCCATTCAGTTTGTTCGTGTCTCAGGAGTTTTGTGGTCGAAGTGGGTTGAGTTCCATAAATGCAGAAATATTTATGTTTAGCTGCTCACCTCGCAACTTCCTAAACAATCAACGTCATCGACAAGTCTCGCATCCAGTTGGTCAACAGAATACTCCACTCGACCGGGTCAACAAGTAAAGCTCACGTATTTCCATAATTTTTGCAGAATATTTAATCCCTTGCGTTCTAGTTGGCATCGCAATGGGCTCAATCAAGCTTGCCGGGTTGCTCGACAGATATGAGAATGCTGGCAGGCGGACTTACCAATACAACATCCTCCTATCAAGCGACTGGGCACAAGGTGGAGTGCCTTGACAAGCATTTACTGAGGCCAGAGTTTGTATCACATAATTGTGTTCATTGTTTTGTACTTACTGGTTATGGTGATATAGAGGCAGTAGCAGTATTTAGATTCTAAAACTTCAACAACGGTTGCAATTAAAACGCTGTGAGTACGTGATCGGTTATTGACGTGCAACTAGTTTCGGAGCGTTGTTAGGGTAATGCGATAGTACTGGATACTTGGCTCTTCAGCACAACTTGCACAGGTGCTGATCAGTGCAGGTTGGTGACACTAATATTTTTTTAGTTCCACTTCAGTCGATAGCGCGATGTGGTCGGCGGAGTTCCTGGACAATGCAGAGACGTCGTTGCGATCTTCACCTGTAAGCTTTCGAAATTTCTTCACAAAGCAACAGTCTCTGTAACATCACATCCAGGTTTCACATGCACTGGCGAGCGAACTGGCAGAGGATTGGGCGCAAGAATACACCGCTGGTCAGCAGCATATGCTCGACGGTATGGAGAATGAGTGGGAATCAATACGACAGAATCTCAATAAAATCCAGAAAGAAGACCTGAGCCAAATTGAAACATATGAACACCAGGTAGTTGTTTTTTGCTGTCTGCGATGTATGAGTTGCTTTTCGACTGAGCCGTGGTGGCCTCCATACTGTCAAGCTTCAACTCCAAATCTAGGTCGATTGTTAAAACCCGCAGTCAAGTCATCTGCTTCTGGTGCGCCAGGTAGTTGCCCTATCAGTGCGTTACAATATCTTCAAGAAATAGGAAAGAGTTGCGCGCGTTTGTTCGCTTTTTTTTCGCGCGCCATGCATTCGACTTCGATTAAGAATTCATTTGACTGAGTCTAGGCAGTTGCCTAAAAAAGTGTCCATTGAGCAAGGCAATGTGTTTTCTGCGCAGATTGATCTGCTTGCCATCTGCCGATTTCGGTGGGGCGGGTATTGAAGGGCTTGCCAGTGGTAGCATTGTTGCTGTGTCGATTAGTCGTTCCCTAGTTATCTGGAGGAGAAAGCTCTGTGCTACCCATCGGCTATCCTCTAGTAGACTTTGTCTTATATGCCAAGCGTGTAATAAAATGCTGCTATGAAAGCCAAGTTCATGGCGAATAACAGATAGAGATATTCATGTCATAGATTACTACTCAGTCCAAACATCACAAACTAAAAATCTATATTTTTTTCGAAATTTGTTTTAGGCGAACAATCCGTTCCTCACCTCAGCTCAACCAATGATGGAAGGGGATCGCTTAATGCAAGAAGGAGACCTCGGAAATGCAATGCTTGCTTACGAAGCAGCTGTTCAGAAGAATCCCAACGATGCTGAAGTCGGTGATAGTAGCTTGATATTTCTTTCCATCGTCACTTCTCATTTAATGCGTTGATGGCTTGGCAGTAGGCTTTCCAACTTCAGCGGAATCCGACTTGAATTTTCCATGAGAAAGGTCATACTGTTTTCTGGCAAAATGTGCACCAAAAATGACCACGGCTTCTTAGCGAAGAAAGGCCCGGGAATCGCGGCCAAACCTGCCAGTTTTTCGGTGTTTCGCTCTTGTCTGCTGGGTTATGGCGCGGGGAGAAGTTTGAAATTCACTAACTAAAATGTAGCTTGGGATTTTGATTGGAGTTTGCGCAGTGGAGGGGGAGAAAAACGCGTGTATGGGATGGGGATTCCTCGATGGCGGTATACGGTATGTGTGTACGTGTGCACTGCATATTATGTAGCATATCTTTAAGATTTCTTGGACTCTGTTTGGCTAGCAGGTATTCGATGTAATGGACGAGATGTCGTGAGGGCAGGATATTGTGATTAACTAAGCTATCCGTATGGGAATGGTAGTAGATAATTAATGGAAAACGTATAAATCTGGGTTATAATCGGGGCTCGTGCTGTGGGCAACTTCTCCCTACACAAAAGCAGTAGATTCGTTCTGGGAATCTAAGCAATGCCCCAAAATATTCTTGAGGTCAATTGTTACGATAGATTGAAGTTTGAAGAAAGGGAATGCAGCTTTCCTGAAAGGAGGTGTTCCTCTAGGGGAGCAGGACGAGGCACAATGTTGCCGGAAATTGCGGTCATAGCGGCCTCATACGCTCTACTCACGGCAGTGAAGCCCTTTCCAACGAGTACCTCTCCCAACCGGCTGTCCCTCACCGCTGGATTCTGAACGGTCAATCAGAAAGAACACAGCGTTCGCCCTGATGACGTTAGTATCGATTAAGGACACCCAACGAGAAAGCGGAGGGGCGAAAACATAGGCAGGGTTCCCGTTTTAGACCGTCTCCCAACCTTTTCTATGATGCTAGTCAATTTGGAGCTCTACTTTCATTTATACTCATTTGGGCAAATGAATTTCAATTTCTTCATGAAAACCGCTTTTGATGGGTCGAAAAACCATACTAGCAAGTAGTAGCCTTATCGATGAGCGACCTCGAAAAGAGGTACACTAAAGGGCGAGGCAACGGCGCTAAGGCCTTGCCTTGTGTGTTGCTGTGCTGTCTTCCTTAACAATCGCGGAATACGTGACATCTGCGCCCTCTCACGTACCGTACTCTCTCGCATTTTCCCTGTCTTTGCAGCGCTATGCCAACCTCACAAGGGAAGTTGCAATGTTTTCTATGGCGCTTTTTGCTTTTTCCTCCCAATAACGTTTCCTGTCTAATTTTCGAACCAAGTAACACACCAATTCGACTGATCCGTGCCCTTAACGTCTTTGTGTGCTTTTGCAGTATGTTAGATAACATTAGAAGGGTATGGCATGTTGTTCAACCAGCATCGTTTTGTAGCGGTTCCTAACTATGTGGATCCATTGCGTAACTAATTGTAACTAATGTCATATCATCTCCTGTCACTTGCTTATGTCGCTGATAATGGGGGCTGCTGACATTCCCAGTCCTTGTGCTCTAACAATTACCAGTAATATGAACTGCATTGATACTGTGGCATTAAGTTTGCGCGTAGCAGTGTGATCCAACATAAGGCGTGGTTGGTCTGTGATTTTTTCCTCGAATTTGCTTCAGTTGCTTAATTTACTGCTTCTCTTGTTCAGTTGTGACTGTCGCTGTTGTAGATAGATCGTGTTCTTCAACAGAATTTGGAAAGATTAGTGCAAGCTGTAGAAGAGAACGCAGAAGATGCTGATGTAGGTATGATTAACGGTCGAATCATCTCACTTGTATGAGCATCCGCATTATCTTTCCCGTAGTATCTTTGCTATGCGGTTTTATTTTCGATTCGGGGTATTGTCCACTATGCTGTTTGAGCTCTTTGAAGCCAATTCTGTCATCATACTCAAAGTCGGAAAAGTCTTTGCGCATTTGGCAACTTTTTTCAAAATTGTTTTTCTTCTTTAGTGCAGCCAACAATTGTTGAATACATACACCACCATAATCGTCGAAACATTGCTCTTCAGCAGGCAACTTCAGGTTGCCGGCCGTTCAGAAATCCCGAGTCTTTGGGGCGAAAAGCTCAAAGAGGTTGACTCCGAGTAGGTCCGGATCATCGAACTGCCCCTATTTCAGTACCTTCGACGGCAACAGAGCGTATGGTAGCCTGTCTCTACCAGGTTTGCTGAACACACTAAGTGGGTCAGATCATCTCATAACGAGCTTGGAGACTTTTCCTGGACCTTCTTCGTAATTCGTGGGCGAGCGTTGCCGACATAAAGTAAAGTTTCTCAGATTTTCCGGGCACCATGCCGGGAAACCAATCCACTTGCTAACATTATTGTTCACCAATAGCAGTGGACTTCGTTGGCAGCTCTCCGTGAGCGAAACATTTGCAGCCTCATGAGCTTTCAAAGTCGCCTCCCAGGTTACTGTTCTCGAATCGGCGTTGCAATCCTTTGTTCTACGCATCCGAGCCAGTCGTGCTTTCGCGTGCGGTTTATCTGAGGATCCCACTTCTTGCTACCACCAACAAAGTTGGCGGATCAAGCGAGAGACAGGCGGCAAATCAAAATGTCCATGCAAAATTTTAGCCTGTGGTCAGTCAGATCACAAAATATCCTTTCGCCATAATTTCACTTCCTTTCGAGGCGATATTGAGGAGCGGTCATTGTGGTCTGGTAGCACTGAAAAAGCTCCGCCAGTTATCGTGCCACTGAAGGTGGCAGTTCGACCAGATTTGAGTTTTTTTCAAGTATCTGGAACTTCGGCAACCAAATAATTGGCATATTGTGAAAGATAGTCTGGAGGTCCATCACAACACGTAGGCCTCCTACTGCTTCGCTTCAATCGACGCATTTTGTGGGCTTATAAAGGCAGGAGCAGTCGAACATACCTTCAGTGAAAGGCGGTCGAAATGCTACGACAGAAATGCTGTGGAGAGAGCATTAACCACCGCTCACATGCGTTTAACAGTGAATGTTTCAAAACGATCCCAAAAGATTTTGCAAGATGAACAAGAAAATGCGCAAAACTTTTCCGACAACCTAATACTTCTAATGTGTAGTACTTGTGTGCTTGCTGTGTCGCCTATGTTTTCGCTTGATCGTTCACTTGGCAGTGTTAGAACTCGCTTGTCGAGGCAATACTTATACTTTTACTGTGACCGGTCCGGCTCCTTCGACACAGGGTCACGGTTGGAGAAGAAGACAATTTTGTTGATATTCCCAACTGGATTATCAAAATAACTGAGCCATAACAGTGCGCGGGTCTATTCGCGTTCACTTGAGTTCCTTTCAAACGCGTTCTCTCTGTTCTTCCTCGGCTATTATTCCTCTTCAGGGCTGAGTTCTATGTATAGGTGCCTGAAGTCCAATATATCAAGAAACCGGCGAAATATAACTAAGCATAAGTCGTTGGGTTCAAAAGAAGATTAAAAGACTTGTTGACCAAGTCTCTTCTGGAATGCGCCACACTTCCAATTTCATTCCGAATCGTAGCGACATCAAGAGTGCGATTTGGGCTATAAAATAACATTCGGGTCAAGCGATATAAAAGCCAGTTCTTTTACCCTTCCAGAAAGCCTGTTACCAACTCAATAACCTCGGGGGATGGAAACTTGCTCAGCCTGGAAGAAGGTGGATGTGGGTGCTTTTGGGTGTTCATCATTAAGATGGTAATGGGATTTATATGACTTAGCGGAGAGTCGTTATTCGGACGTCAACATCTACCTTGATGGCGAAATCGCTGAAGTCACGTCCTACTCCCAGTTCAGTTGTACTTGACTATCGTTTACGGGCACAGCGTTCTGATTTCATCAATATATCAGTTATCAGGATCAACGCCAGTTCTCTAACTAATTTCAGGCTTGGTGCCGTCTTGGTTTGTCTCATGCAGAGAATGAACACGACGCGAAAGCAATCGCAGCATTTAATAAATGTCTCAAAATCCAACCGAATAATGAAGAGGTTGGAATGATTGAATAATGTTCTACTTAGAAGCGATTTTGTGTGAAATTGTTGCAGTATTTGAATTTGAGGGTAGTCGTTCTTTGAGGAATAACTCTCATGAAAGAACTCTTCAGGCTTTGCTCGCCTTATCTGTCTCACTCGCCAATGAATCTGTAGACAATGAGGCGTTGAATCAGCTGGAGAAATGGCTGGTGGCACATCAAGGCGGCGATCCAACAACGGTCCAGAAGGCACATGCTGGCTACAGCTCGTTCCTTGACCACGACACTTTCAAACAGGCAAGTTCAACTTTCAAAAACAGGGGGGCTCATCTTAGTAAGCTGGAACAACATATAGGAGAGCATTAACTCATTGTCTGAGAGCAGGGTCAACCGTCACGTTGGACAAATTTTAATAATTTTACAAACCCTCATCTGAAGGGCCTCAACACGACCTCCTCAAGGTCACCCTACCGTTAATATTTTATGGAAATTTTCACGACCCCCCTCCACCACCATGAGACTCAGGAGGTCCACCAAGACCAATAACGACCACACCCTTACCTTCAGAAGCTGTTACTATGGTACTCAATTCTGAGACCAGTTCACCCAGCCCAGCTCCACCCACATTTCCTCCAAATATCTCTTTCGTCGAGCGGGGAAAGGGGGAGGGGTATGGGGGTATATCAACAATGAAACGGCAAATTTTCTTCTCAGCACTCACGTAAAGCATCACACTACGACCCCCTTTGGTACAGGATTGACGCTGCCTCCGACCTTGCGAATACGACCCCGCTCTTTGGACTTTGTCCAACGGACGGTTGACCATGTCTGAGAGTACGTGAACAGAATTGCAACTGTTATAGAAGGCGCCCTTACAATCCACCGATCTTCAACTAACGGCCTTGAGAAAATCTCAATTCAATTTTGTGTTTGTGACCGAGGAATTTTACCAGCTG